TGAAAATCCTGGAAAATCAGGAAAAATGACTCAGGACTGGTCAGTATGTTCAGTCATCGCCTAGGTCAGTCAAAGCACAATGCAGTGAATATACTAGTCCACTGCCAAAATTCTAAATATCATGAAAAAAGTTCAATATATTTTGTTGCTCATTTCAGAAAGTCAGAGGTTTTTTTTATTTTTATTTTTTTTTATTAAATTAGAATGTAAAATGGAAGAATTTGGGGGAGCTTCATCAGGAGTGGACTGAGGCTGGAGTCAGCACTTTAAGAGTCACTATGTACAGATGAAGCCTATGCAGGACATGAGAGGAAGTCTGAAAAGTCTGACTTGGGCTGTGGAGAAAAAGAACTGGACTATTGCTCACTGGTCCAAAGTCCTCTTGAGACCCACACAGCCAAAGATACCAAAAGATGCTTGACTAGCCTGCAAATTCACTTTGAACCCCACTAAAGGAGCACCAATGAGAAAACCCCTAAAACATATGATGTAAAGTAAATGGGTTTTATAAAGTGGTGTAGGTAAGTACAATAACAAAAAAAAATAAACGTTCACATTTGATATTTCAGAATATTTCAGAATTCCACAAATTTACTAAACCACTCATAAACTAAGGTATTTAACAGCAACAAAAAACACTGCCCAAGGGCCGAGCCAAACTGTGAAAACTAAAAATGATAGTACCAAACACACTTTACAATATCAAAGAGCAAAAGTCTAAAGATGTGAGGGGCGAACTGAAACTGCCATCCAGCCGCCAGGAGGGACAGGAGCACAGCACTTTTATTGGTCGAGGTGATTGATGTGGAAGGATGTGGAAGGAAGGGATTGGAGGAACGGGACGTCAATCCTCCAACCACAGCACAAGGGGTGTCGGAGCCAGACCACAGCATCGGAACCACGGCCCACCAGTCAGACATCATTCACCACACAGGACATGCAAATACGGAAGATACAAGCGGTAATACAAACGGGGAGTGCCAGGTGATGCGGAGCCGGAGACAGGCCGTGAGCCGTAACACAGGACTGGTTTTACATGTGGAGGTCATTTCAAGTTTCTCCCTCTTGGTCTTTTTTGGTTGGTTTTGCACTAGTGCTGCTTTGGCTAGAGTGATTATCACTACTGGGAGCATGAGGTCATTCCTTAACCCTTCAGAAAGTGCACAGATAGTCCAACTTCTCCAGGATGATACATCCGGACGTGCTGTTGCCAAAAGATTTAATGTGTCTCCAGCACAACCTCCAGAACATGGAGGAGATTTCAGGAGACAGTTAGTTCCTCTAGGAGAGCTGGACAGGACCATAGAAGGTCCTCAACCCATCAACAGGACCCATCTCTGCATCCTTTGTGCAGGAGAAACAGGTTGATCACTGTCCGTGCCCTACAGAATGACCTCCAGCAGGACACTGGCGTGAATGACTCTGCCCATTGTGTGGAGCTCAATTGGCATTTACAAGACGACACCAGAATTGGCAGGTCCACCACTGGTGTCCTGTGCTTTTCACAGATGAGAGCAGATTCACCCTGAGCACCTCTGATAGATGTGAAAGAGTCTGGAGAAGACAATTAGAACACTCTGCTGCCTGTAACATAGTTCAGCATGAGCGGTTTGGTGATGGGTCAGTGATGTTCTGGGGAAGGATACATGGAGGGACACACAGACCTCCACCAGTTAAAAAGGCAGTCTGACTGCCATTAGATATACCCACTGTCAGACGTGACACTGCTCCAGGGTTCCTCCTGACGCACGACAATGTCTGGCCTCATGTGGCAAAAGTCTGCAGGCAGAACCTGGAGGATGAAGGGATTGAAATGGGTGAATGTCCCTCATGATCACCTGACTCTACAGTCCTCAGACTCTACAGGAGCTCAGTGATGCCCTTACACAGATCTGGGAGGACATCCCACAAGACTCCATCCGTTGTCTCATTAGGAGCGAGCCACAATGTTGTCAAACATGCACAGAAGCACGTGGGGCCACACAAGATGTTGAGAAGAAGTTTAAGTTGCAGAAATGAAATTTAGACAAAAAGGACTAGTCTGGACATCATTATTTCACTTTGATTTTCAGGCTATAAAATGAAGCCCTCTGTAGGCTCAACGTCATTTTGTTCCTAACACATTGCCCTGTCCATAATTATAGTATATATAATAGAGATAGCCAGCATTTTTTTTTTGTTTCACATTTTTGAGTGTATGGGTTTGACCTTCTGCAATGAGAAAAAGTTGAACTTTTTCATTACATAAAATTTTCACGGGCAGTGGACTTTAGGTATTGTTAAGACTACATCTTTAGAAGAAAACAAGGGTCATGTTTTTGTAGATGACAGAATAAAAAATGTGCTGGAAAAATCCGGAAATGATTTCATGCAAAGTGTAGTGGTCTAATCCTGAGTTTTTCAGATGGTTTCACTGTTGGAGTGGGAGTACTTACAGTGTAGGGCAGGAGGGTGATGAGCATCATGCACACCTGTCCACAGAGCACACACACTATCAGCTCTTAGACTTGGTACAAGAACTGAACAATACTAAACATTTGTTCTAAAAATAGTACACAAAATTGTTTCTTGTGAGCGTTAAGCCACCTCCTCAAAAACAGACCTGGAGTTGTGTTTTGTTTCATTCACACATGGTTGAGTAATCTTTTAGTCTGTCTACATCTCAAAGCTCATAATGCTCTGTTCCACTTTAGTTCAGTAGAGTCAGTTAGTCAGTTAGTCAGTCAGGTCCAGGGCTAAAATTATCCAAATGATTCTAGTGAAGGTGCATGGAGTTTGAAAACACAGTGAAGCACTAAGTGAAGAAGTATTGACATCATGACATCACATGCACAAATGAAACAAAACACAATTCCAACATTTTGAGCTTTGGAGATGTAGACAGACTAATAATAAAGGGTTATACAAACATGTGAGAATGACAAAGTGAATAATATAGGACCTTTAAACGGTAGCCTACATTACATGTCATGATCTGTATAATGTTTATGTGACTCACCAGGTTGAAAAGTGCCAGGTTGTCATCTATCCGTATAACCACCTGGAACAGTCTGTATACCCACAACAACAGAGGTGAACAAAAGCAGTAAACTCCAACAATAAACAACTCCTATGAGGAGAGAGGGGGAGAAAGAAGAGAGAAGGAGGGAGGAGAAAGGGAGAAAGAGCGGAAGAAGAGGTGGGGACCTGCTGTGAGCCGCCCACGCCATGGACACGATGAGGAACGTCATGAGATACACAGCAATCTTTGTGGAGAGCAGCACCTGCAGACTCTGCCTCAGCTCCTGCACACACCACAGCCACAGATTAGAGTCACACACGTGTGTACGTGTGTGCGTGTGCATGTGTGTGTGTGTGCGCCTGTGTGCATGTGTGTGTGTGTGCGCGTGTGTGTGTGCCTGTGCGTGTGCATGTGTGTGCACGTGTGTGTGTGTGTGTGTGTGTGCGCCTGTGTGCATGTGTGTGTGTGTGTGTGTGCGTGCCTGTGTGTGCGCCTGTGTGCATGTGTGTGTGCATGTGTGTGTGTGTGTGTGTGTGTGTGCCTGTGTGTGCGCCTGTGCGTGTGCATGTGTGTGCACGTGTGTGTGTGTGTGTGTGTGTGTGTGTGTGTGTATGCGCCTGTGTGCATGTGTGTGTGTGTGTGTGCCTGTGTGCGTGTGTGTGTGTGTGTGTGCGCCTGTGTGCATGTGTGTGTGTGTGTGCCTGTGTGTGTGCGTGTGTGCATGTGTGTGCCTGTGTGTGTGCGTGTGCATGTGTGTGTGTGTGTGTGTGTGCCTGTGTGTGTGCGTGTGCATGTGTGTGTGTATGTGTGCCTGTGTGTGTGCGTGTGCATGTGTGTGTGTGTGTGTGTGTGTGTGTGTGTGTGTGTGTGTGTAGGGGACTGCTGATGGTGGGAGGGACTGATGGCAAAGAATGACTTTGAGAGGCCTGGACAGTGTGACAGTGAGACTTTAGAATGACTTGGGACATGTGAGGAGGACATTACCTCACTGGTCTCCACTGGAGTGTGGGCCACAGGGAGGATCTGCAGGAGAACACATGGTTAATATCCACCTCAGGCTAGAACATACACATACAGAATACTGCATACAGAGATGCAGATGCATCTGTAGGAAACGTATGTCAAATTCAGTTTTTAACATACACATGAACATGTTCACCCCCAGGTAAACATGCTCACATCAAATGGTTCTTACTGATAACAATTCTAATGCTCAATTACAAAAATGCTGGACATAATGGCTTGTTAATTTATGTAATTATTTGGTGCTTTGATTGTCAGGAGTATTATGGAACATGGGTGCCTTATTTGGGTTGACAGTTTCAGTGGTGAAATCCAGTTGGTTTAAACCTAAAATGTCTCTCTGATCTGAATGGTCACTAAACCCCAGCACCTGCACCAATCATGAGTCAGTGCTAGTGCAGCCTCTGCAGCTCAGGGAGGGAATTCTGGAGGTTCTGAGCTTCACGTGAGGCCTGTTCATTTACTGAAAATGAGACACACTTGGATGTGTTCTCTCTCTGCAGGTGAAGGCTCTGGAGACACAGGTTCAGTTGTGGTTGTAGGACCTTTTTTTTAAACTATAAGAGCTCAGGCAACACGCAGTTCCTTTGACTCGAGATCAGGCCGGGCTGAGCCTCTTGCTTCTCCCGCGGCTGCTGCTCTCCCCACGGGCGCAGGACTCACCATGACCGTGGCGATGATGGAGATGAGCGCGTCGCTGTAGGCCAGCAGTCTGTGGGAGGACTGGCTGCTGCTGGGGCCCTCCGATGCGTCCGGGGACATGACTTCCGATACCCGGGCCGAGGGGGCGCGTGAGCCCATCTTCTCCATGTCCTCCTCTGTGTGCTGCTCTACCACCTCAGGCTCGATGTCATCGCAGCGGGCCATGGTGCAGAGCGCGCCCGGGGATGGGGGTAAGCTGCACCTGCTAAAGGAGAGGGAGGCTCTGCGGTGTCGCCATCTCTGTTTACAAACAGGCACCCCGGAAACCAGGCAGCTCCCCACTGCGCAGGCGCACCGAGCTGTTTAGTTCAGCCACGAGAGGGCGTAGAAGGAGACATTAGAAAGAACACTTGTGGCTCCGCTGCTCGAGACGTTTCTCAAAAGTCTCAGTGTTGCCAAGATTAATAACAGGACTGTTTACAGTGATTTAAACCTGTTCATTATTTACTGGTCTAATGGTGTGGTGGTGGTGGTGGAGGACGTGTGGTGCCGTATAAAAGTGTTCTACAGGACGCGCCTCCTGGGGGTGCGCGCCGCGTACGGCTCTCTCTGATTGGCTCCAAACGCAGTGACCCAGGGTGAAGGCGAGTGCCGCTGAGAGGCAGGTCCAGTGAGGAGAGCAGCGCGGGGCTCGGTCTGGACTCATGGTTTGGATCCTGTTTTATAGCCGGTACAGTGCACCGCGGGGGGTCCGGACACGCGCCAAAGCAGTGCGCAGGTGAGGGGCCGTGCGCGCCGTGACTCCTGTAGGAGTCTGAGGGCCGTACAGTCTTTATGTCTGTTCATTAGACTCTGTTCTAAATAGATGTCAGTATGACTGACTTTACTCTGAATGTTCCAACAGCAGTGTGCGCCTCACGCTTACTTTAAACTCCACCTGAAGTAGCAGGTTTGACTTCATTATTTAATGTGTGGCTTCAGCTAGTTCATCCACTGCGTCTGGCATTGCCCCTCCCCCAGCCGCAGGCCCCTCCCCTGACCCCTGCCCACAGGACCCGGGGCAGATGGGACGGCTCGTGCGGCTTAAGGCTGTGTGGTGTGCAGAGCAGGTAGAGATGAGCGCTTAGGTTTGAAACGCTCTTCTGGTGTAGTAGAGTAGGTGTAGTCGTACACACTCCGGAAAACCATATGTGTCTGTTGCCTCACTGTCCCACCTGGAGCAGTGTACACTGGAGCTCAGGTTCTCCTCCGTCATTATCACAAAGGGTCTGGTTCCTCTCTGAAGCCTGGTTCCTCTGGACACTAACTAATACACACGTCTGTATTAGTTCTGTGCAGGGCCATGCCTCAGACCAGTTCCATCACCGGTCAGCTCCCCGACCTGAGAAGGGAGGATACTGATGACCTATGTTACCATGACAACGGCCTTTGTTACCGCAATAACAACCTGGTGTCGGGGCCCCTAGAGGCCCTCATTCAGCACCTGATGCCCTCGGAGCAGTACTACCCTGATGTGAGTGCCCCCTACAGGACAGAACAGTGTGATGGGTTCTGGATTATTGTGATCGTGATTACAATCTCAAAACATAACTGGAGATATTATTAGTCTGTCTACATCTCTGTTCAAAATGCTCTGTTCCACTTTGTGAAGTCATAAAGAGGTAGTTTTCAAGTTAACAGTTGCCTTTTACTTTTAGTGCAGACACTAGACAATTTCAGGGCTGAAATTATCTAAATGATTCTAGTGAAAGTGTATAGACTTTAAAAACACAGTGGAGCACTTCCTGTATTACCACATCACAAGTTGGAACAGAGTATTTTCTGTTTGAGAGGAGAACTCAGTCTAAATGTGTTTGTGTGTGAAACAAAAACTAAAAACAATTCGATGTCTGTTTGTGATGAGGAAACTACATTAGAACATAGATCATGGAGTAAAATGTTCTCTGATGACAGCAGGCCAAACCCAGGAGAGAAGACCTCCTGGTGACACTCATACTGCAGCTTCAGAAAACTCAAAATGACCCTAAAATGATAATGCCCACAATGATGAGGTGGGCAGTGCCCTGTGTTCTCATCCATATCACACCTCTGATGTCTCCTCTGATGTTCTCACAGAGCTCCTATGTCTTCACCTTTCTTCTGAGCTCACGTCTCTTCCTCCCCCCACACCAGCTCCTGGACAGACTGAGTCAGCTGTGCTCTGACCAGGTACAGCCACCTCCACCTACACCACCTCCACCAGCCCCCACCAGTCCACCTCCACCTGTCCACCTCCACCTGTCCACCTGTCCACCTCCACCAGTCCACCTCCACCTGTCCACCTCCACCTGTCCACCTCCACCAGTCCACCTCCACCTGTCCACCTCCACCTGTCCACCTGTCCACCTCCACCTGTCCACCTCCACCTGTCCACCTCCACCTGTCCACCTCCACCTCCACCTGTCCACCTCCACCTCCACCTGTCCACCTCCACCTCCACCTGTCCACCTCCACCTGTCCACCTCCACCAGTCCACCTCCACCTGTCCACCTCCACCTCCACCACCTCTCCACCTCCACGTCCACCTCCAAGTCCACCTGTCCACCTCCACCTCCACCTCAAATTCAAAGTCCACCTCCACCTCCACCTCCACCCACCTGTCCACCTCCACCAGTCCACCTCCACCACCTGTCCACCTCCACCTGTCACCTGTCCACCTCCACCACCACCTGTCCACCTCCACCTCCACCTCAAATTCAAAGTCCACCTCCACCTCCAAGTCCACCTCCACCTCTAAGTCCACCTCCACCTCCACCTCAAATTCAAAGTCCACCTCCACCTCCACCTCAAATTCAAAGTCCACCTCCACCTCCACCTCCACCTCCACCACCACCACCTCCACCTGTCCACCTCCACCTGTCCACCTGTCCACCTCCACCTCCACCTGTCCACCTCCACCTGTCCACCTCCACCAGTCCACCTCCACCTCCACCTCAAATTCAAAGTCCACCTCCACCTCCACCTGTCCACCTCCACCAGTCCACCTCCACCTGACCACCTGTCCACCTCCACCTGGTCCACCTGCCACCGTCCACCTCCACCTCCACCGGGCCACCTAAAGTCCTGCGTCTCCTAACCGAGTGGACTCAGACTATCCCCTGTGACTTTAGGGACAAGTGCATGTCCCACAGCCTGAGGACACTGTCCCACAGGCTGGTCTCTGGTGACCTGGTCAGTCTTCTGGGCCCACAACAAACATGTGGACATATGTCCTCATGTCCAAATGTGTGTCCACATCTGTGTCTCCTCATGTCCTCGTGTGTGTCCTCATATCCACTGTCATAAGATTATTTAAATAACAGTTAAGCATTAGAAATGTATCGCTTTTTCAGTGCAGATTATAATGTGTCCTCATGTTCAAATATGTGTCCTTATGTGTGTCCTCATGTCCTTATATGTGTCCTTATATGTGTCCTCATATGTGTCCTCATATGTGTCCTGATGTGTGTCCTCATGTGTGTCCTCAGGTCCTCATGTGTGTCATCAGGTGTGTCCCCATGTGTGTCCTCATGTCCTCATGTGTGTCCTCAGGTGTGTCCTCATGTGTGTCCTCATGTCCTCATGTGTGTCCTCAAGTGTGTCCTCAGATGTGTCCTCATGTCCTCATGTGTGTCCTCATGTCCTTATATGTGTCCTCATGTGTGTCCTCATGTCCTCATGTGTGTCCTCATGTGTGTCCTCAGGTGTGTCCTCATGTGTGTCCTCATGTCCTCATGTGTGTCCTCATGTGTGTCCTCATGTGTGTCCTCATGTGTGTCCTCAGGTGTGTCCTCATGTGTGTCCTCATGTGTGTCCTCATGTGTTCCTCATGTGTGTCCTCATGTGTCCTCATGTGTGTCCTCATGTGTGTCCTCATGTGTGTCCTCATGTCCTCATGTGTGTCCTTAGGTGTGTCCTCAGATGTGTCCTCATGTCTGTCCTCATGTCCTTATATGTGTCCTCATGTGTGTGTCCTCATGTCCTTATATGTGTCCTTATATGTGTCCTCATATGTGTCCTGATGTGTGTCCTCATGTGTGTCCTCAGGTCCTCATGTGTGTCCTCAGGTGTGTCCTCATGTGTGTCCTCATGTCCTCATGTGTGTCCTCAGGTGTGTCCTCATGTGTGTCCTCATGTCCTCATGTGTGTCCTCAGTGTGTCCTCATATGTGTCCTCATGTCCTGTGTGTCTCTCATGTGTCCTGTGTCCTCAGGTGTGTCCTCAGGTGTGTCCTCAGGTGTGTCCTCAGGTGTGTCCTCATGTGTGTCATGTGTGTCCTCATGTGTGTCCTCATGTGTGTCCTCATGTCCTCATGTGTGTCCTCATGTGTGTCCTCAGGTGTGTCCTCAGGTGTGTCCTCATGTGTGTCCTCATGTGTCCTCATGTGTGTCCTCATGTGTGTCCTCATGTGTGTCCTCATGTGTGTCCTTAGGTGTGTCCTCAGATGTGTCCTCATGTCTGTCCTCATGTCCTTATATGTGTCCTCATGTGTGTCCTCATGTCCTCATGTGTGTCCTCATGTCCTTATATGTGTCCTCATGTGTGTCCTTATGTGTGTCCTCATGTTCTCATGTGCGTCCTCAGGTCCATAGGAGGGCTCTGGTCCGCTCGCGCAGGTCTTTGTTCCGGTCTCTGTTCCGGAGACTAGCTGTACTGGCTCAGTATGAGGAGGCTCTAGGGACACATCCAAGCTGGAGCAGGGGACAGTCTGATGTCCCGGAGAGTCCAGCCCCAGGAGCTGTCCACGTCCACCTCATCCATTTGGGCCCAGCAGCTCACACACATTGAGCTGGTAAGGCCTGCGTCGTGAGCTCCACTGAAGTCTATTGAAGTCTATTGAAGTCCATTAGAGTCCACTCTGTCACACACTGAGTTGAACTGACCGTTCGTGTTTAGGAGAGACTGAGCTTTGTGGAACCTGAGGAGTTCGTGGAGGTGCTCATGTCCAGAGGAGCAGTGGACAGCAGCAAGGTCAGGTCACACTTGTCAGGTTTCCATGCTTCTTGGGGAGATTACATTGACATCCATTTCCTAGAGACTGAAACTAACCTTAACCACAGCCACCCCAAAATGTGTAGACATTATAATTTCAGGAAAAATTACCTTTATTTTTGATTAAATCATGTTTGAATTATTAGAGAAATGTGTTCCTTGTGTAAATTGTGCCATACATGTCATAAATATAGAACTTTTTTTCACAAATTGCTACTTGATTGGTGTTAAACTGTTATTTATATTTAAAACAGGTATTATCGCACAAAATTAGAGAATCATCAAACCACGCCATATGCACTTTAAGCAGTTTTAACTTTACTC